ATGTGTAAACCAAATGAACCTCCAAATTATGTACCGTTTTTCAGTTTCTAATGCTAAACCGTTAAGTTCCTCTAATTAGGTCCCATTGTTTAGCTTGCGCAATCAATTATCTTCTAGACCTCGCTGGACACTTGAATGAAAAGAGACAAGCCATTTTTTTCACACTTCACGATTATTACAAATGAAATTTCTAATATTAATTAATTCATGCTTTTATAGGTCTACAGATAACCACGTCTTTAAAATTGCATTGGCACAGCGAGTCAAACATCGCACGAGTTTCGTAATCATGTAGTTTTGTAATGTTGAAAAATTAGCGATAGATCCACCAAAATATTATTTTATGACTCTAAACAGCTTAGATATTTTTTTTAATTCACAAGTTTTAAGAAATTTCAGTCTTCAGACCAATAATTGCAGATATATAGTATATACATGTTAGCGTGATTGTGTGACTTACCAGAATTTCCTCTGCCCTTTAATAAACGCTGTTTAATTTACCTTTTGTAAACAAAATTTTTATTTTTTAAATAGGGTTTAATGCTTGAAACTTGTTGTTACTGGTACCTTTATTTTCAGATTCTATAACCGAATATTTGTTTATTTATAAGTACGTATTGGGGGTGGGTCTTTTTCACAGTATGCATATACTTTGGAAACTTCCTAATTTTTGTTTTTTAATACGTTTAATCGATATCGATGAATAATTTTATTATTAAATTTATTGATTAATTTTCCAAATAATAAATGTCATTTGTGTATTTAACTATTGATTCATTTGGGTTGTGTGTTTTTTCAATTTATTTGGTGGTTTTTTCGCGAATTCGGTCGCGAAATGACCTCGAATATTAGCACTTCGTGTAAGTCTTGCGCCACAGTTAAATTTGAAATGATGGAGAACCCTGAGAATAGAATCAAAATTGTTCAGATCATGACCAGATGTGTGAAAGATGGGACAGAAATAGGGGATTAAAATTAAACATACAGAGGGAGACATAAGAATAAGTAGAAAACTTTAGAAAATTTTCCCAGGAACAGCAGTGCCATGACATCCTTAGTGTAGATTCAAGTTTGTTCACATCATGACCTCCTCGGTTAGAGTGGGGCTATAAAAAGTGATCAAATTTTTATATAAGAATATGAAGGAAAATGAATCTGATGATGAAAAAAGAAGGACCATAATTACTCAGATGAGCGTTGAGACCACTAGACCTCTTGTTAAATCAAAGGAGCTAGGGAATATTGGCTAGACCCTATTTAAGTAACACGAACTCTTTTAACAATAATAAAATGACAATGTGGTTAAAAAAAAGTAAATATTTGATATGTACGATATTAACTGAAAATTTATTTTACAACAATCAAGCGTAGATTTCATTTAGCAGTTTCTGAACGTTCTTGATATAAATGCATGATAAATATGGAAGCAGGGAACAGCATTCAAGCTCAAAAGTTCTTTCAAACAATACAAATCAGGCTTAAAGAAACACGAACCTTAAAATATTAGAGGTTGGATCAGGTGCGATGGAGGAGTGAGCAGCCCGAGCCGACCGGTCACACCCGCTGTATGCTCCCTGTCCTGGTCTGGAAATAACGGAAAAATATGTAGATAATTCAGTGTGTAAATAACGGCCTAGCAATTAGTATGAAAAACGTCAGTCAGCACTTGACTTAATGATAGATTGTATTTACTAACAAGGTCAATGTATTGACCGTAGAACTTGCAAAATGATGACTGTAAACAAGACTGTTGATATTCTTGTTACATCAACTTGTTTGTCCAAAAATTATCTCGGTTTAGAAATTGTTCATACGTAGTGCATGCTCTTGCGAAACGAATCAACTGAGATATATAAACCCCATATGCATGTGATAGGTGTTTTTTGCTCCATAAGTAAGGGAAGCTGACGTTTGAAAAGTTGAAGCTATTACGTTTATCATAAAGCTTTGTTGTTAGATTACCATTAACGCCTTTTTCTAGTAAAATATCCAAATATGAAACAGGTGTGTAGGACTCTGTGATATCTTTGATTTCAAGCTCCCTGGGATATATCGTGTCGTCATATGAATGGAAGTAACTATTCTTAATTGATAATACGTTGTCGATGTATCTAAATGGCCAGTTGAAGTCAACTGCAAGTGTTTTCTTCTTCTCATATATAAGATTTTGAATAAATTCATTTTCAAATGAATTCAAAAACAGATCTTCTTATAACAGGGCACAATTGGTACCCATTATATTTACAACAGATTTTTGAACAACTGTTCTCCAAAAACTATACAGACATTGTCATTCAAAAATTAAGGATCTTTTTAATATCAACATGTGTGTACAATCAGAATGTTTTTAACAAAATAATTTCGCAAATGACCAAGACAAGGTAGGTAAATTTACGAGTTCCATTTTTATTGAAAAAGCAGGTTTCAATAATGACAAAAAGCCTGGACGTCGATTTATGGGGGGAATAGTTTTATATAGAGTTGAAAAATTGTAAGTTTTTATGCTACTGATTTTGGTAAAATTTTATTTCAAATTTTCAAAAAGTCCTGTGGAATTTTTAAGCATCCACATCTGATTTACACCACTTGTCGAAACTGGTTGTACAGTACCCCTGAAGTTTCTACTTTACTCCTGTTGATATTTTAGTGAGGAGTAAAAAAAAATTACTGGAACCCGCTAGGTATCTTTGTTTGTAAGGATTTTTATGAACGTTCGGAATCCAGTACAGGCATGATAATTCTAATTCATTTTGGTTGCATGTTTATCGATGCCAGACATTTGGTGGTGATTTACCGAAATCTTCACTTCGCAAAAAAGAATTTATCCCTAAATATAATGCGTCAGTTCATATGACCTCTACGAAAGGTTTGACTTTAAAGTATGATTGATTTGAATTTTATATTCAAGATCCGTATTTGCTTAAGAAAAAAAAACATAGTTTTCAACAATTTTTATTTTGCTTAGCGCTCAGGGCTACGATAAATAAGGCATGATGGATATTTATTTTACTAGAAATTCTCAATTTGAATTGAATGTACCTGTTTTAGGCAACCTGAGTCACTTGGATGACCTGTTGATATCAGTTTTTGTCTGCCGACGTGCGTTAACATTTAAATATTTTTAACTTCTTCTCTGGAACAGCTGAGCCAATTTTAATCAATTTTGCCATAATGCATCTTTTGGTGAAGGGGAAGAAAAATTGTGAATCTCATGGTCCCTGCCCCTCTTCCCCCGTGGGGCCTGAGGGGTGGGGTTGAAACCACCAAATTTTATGCAATCTTTAAAGATCTTTTTCTTTATTCCTGGACATCAAGCACTCAAACTGTTAACATAATTGTAATAAGCATTGAGCTCTTTACTCTGTTCCTGGGTATTATTTAATAAACTTAGTGCTTGGTTATGATAAGCAAGGATGTCTCTTCCGAAATTGTGAAATTCATGATCCCAGGCTCGGAGGTTGTGGTCAAACGGCGGGGGGGGGGCTGTATTGATTATATAGAGAAATTAAATAAGCCTACCTGCTCTTTTGTGTTGAGCAGATAAACAAAAGGCATAGTTATGATGAACAAGTGTGCTTCATACAAAATTTTTAAAACTTGTTGTCCGGGGTCAGGGATTCTGGTGTTTCTCGGAGGAGGGGGGTCGTATTAATAATATAGTGAAAATGTGTTAATTCTTTGACAATCTTCCACAAAGTGCATAGTGTCGCCCGCATGGGGCTGTGGTTAGAGCGTTTGCTCTAGGGTCGCGGCGTAAGAAGTTGATCCTTGCGTTGCGGGTTCGAATCCCACTGTGGGACGTGGAGACCGGTCCTTCGGATGAGACGGTATAAACCGAGGTCCCGTTTCGCAGTATGTGCTGGTACGAAAAAGATCCCTCACTGATCAATGGCCGTAAGTGCAGAGTATAGGACAAAATTTGCAGCTCTCCAACGGCAAGTGGTGGCGTCTACATATGAGTGAAAAATTCTTGAGAGGGACGTTAAACAACATACAAACAAACAAACAAAGTGCATAGTTATGCTGATTATTTTACCTATTCCAAGTTTGTGAATTTTTCCTTTAAATTGATGTTTTAAACTCAGGTGACTATGAAGACCCTTGGGCCTCTTGCTCACTTTAAATAATAAGATAATGTTCATTTGCAGGCAATTGATGACTACAATGTTGTTCAATATAGCTGTGCGTTGAAAGTTTTCCACAACAGATACTTTTTTTGACAAAGGTCATCAAGAACAAAAAAAATAAATTGATACACATTTGAGTATTGTGTTTATTATTATGCTTACGCAAAAGAAGTTGGGGACAGATAAAGCTATCACGGTATCTCTTTGCCCTTTGTATTTCTGAATTTAAAAACCACTGATTGATCATTGAAGTTCGTACAACATAGGATGAATCTTTTTCTGAAAAACTGCACATCCAAGATAAGTAATAAATTTATATTGAAACATTCCTTGGTAGTGTAGAATCACGTTTTTTTTTCTTATCATGATCTCCCACGGGTAGGATGCAGCGACAATGAGCAATCAAATATTTGCACAGGAATACATAGGGAAAAATTTAAAAATCTTCTTCCTTTGAACAGAAAAGCAATGATGGGTCATATTTGTACAGAAATATCGTCAGGTAGTGTAGATACACATTTGTTAAAATCATGACCCCCTGGGAGTAGGGTGCAGTCATAATGTATATGTAAAGTTTTATTTTTAAAAAATAGGATTTTTTTAATCGTCAAAAAAAAAGGCATGATTAGTGATATTGTAAAAATATGGAAACAAGTTTGCTCAAATAATCAGTTAAATTTATGTTTATTTTGTGTTATGTAATGTCTGTGACATAATTTTCGTTCATTCTTAATTTATATTCTACAAAGATGCATGATGTTGTCATTCTTAATGAAATTATGTTAATTAAAGATATCACCTCTTATAAAAGCCAGCGATATGCCAAAACGTTAGCTCTATCTATGTATAAAACAACAGATTTCAAGAAAAATGCAAAATCTTGGACTGTTTTTAATATTGCCATTGTTTTGCACTATATTTGTAAGTATTAATATTATATTTCATGCTTTGATCTATATTTGCCTGGGTCATGGGTTCTCGTGTAAGGGTAGGGCAGTGTTGATTCTTTAGTGAAAATGCATTATTTCTTTTAAAATCTTCACTGCTCCTAGATATATCAGAGGCAGAGCAAAAATTTTAATAAGCAAGGGTATTTTTACCAGATTTTTGAACATCTGGACTATTTGGTCAAGTGTTCTGGTCCTCACCAGGGTTCTATTAATTTGTATTTTACTAAGAGAGGTTATTCCTCTTTGTCATTCACTTTTCATAATTAATCATTGTAAACAATGTTTTTTTAAAAGGTTAATAGAATAAGAGAATTATGCAAGAATTTTTATTGTATAATATAAAAAGTAATTTCATAGTTTTTATGATCATGTAGTCTGGTAAATAATAGATAAATAAAAAGGAGAAAAAATAGCGTATTAAATGTTCTTCAAAAACCAAAAGAGACAGATGTGAGAGGTTAAAATATTGGGTTTAAATAGTAGAGAAGCACTTATAATTTGTTAACAGTCTGCATGGTGATAGTGATAAATAGGATACATATAAAACTTAATTTATAAGTTGTAACTGAATACTAGACTAATTATTTCGTTTATGCCGATCATCCCATTTCTCTTGCTTTTGGCAACAAAACTTTATATATCAGCTATCGATCCTTTAAATGATGTTTTAAACTCAGGTGACCGTCAAGGCCCTTGGGCCTCTTGCTCATTTTAAATAATAAAATAATGTTCATTTGCAGGCAATTGATGACTACAAAGTTGTTCAATATAGCTGTGCGTTGAAAGTTTTCCACAACATATACTTTTTTTACAAAAGGTCATAAAAAATAATAATTATAATAATAATAAATAAATAAATTGATACACATTTGAGTATTGTGTTTATTATTATACTTACGCAACGGAAGTTGGGGACAAATAAAGCTATCACCGTATCTCTTTGCCCTTTGTATTTCTTAATTTAAAAACCACTGATTGATCCATTGAACACTTGTACAACATAGGATGAATCTTTTCCTGAAAAACTGCACTTCCATGATCAGTAATACATTTATATTGAAACATTACTTGGTAGTGTAGATTCACGTTTTTTTTTTCCTTATCATGATCTGCCACGGGTAGGATGCAGCGACAATGACCAATCAAATTTTTGCAAAGAAATACATAGGGAAAAATGTAAAACTCTTCTTCCTTTGAACAGAAAAGCAATGATGGGTCATATTTGTACAGAAATATCGTAAGGTAGTGTAGATACACATTTGTTAAAATCATGAACCCCCTGGGAGTAGGGTGCAGTCATAATGTATATGTAAAGTTTTAATTAAAAGAATAGAATTGTTTTTTAAATCGTCAAAAAAAAAAAAAAAAAAAAAAAAAAAAAAAAAAAAAAAAAAAAAAAAAACATGATTAGTGATATTGTAAATATATGGAATCAAGTTTGTTCAAATAATCAGTTATGGTTACGATTGTTCCTCTGAATTTATATTATAACAGGGTATTGTTTATATCTGTAACAAAAGTGCTCATGCGAGCAATCTTGTCCCTGGGGTCTTTACGTTTTTTGAATTGTGAAATATGTGAAAAGATGACCCGATAAATTTATTTTTATTTTGTGTTACGTAATGTCTGTGATATTACTTTTCGTTCACTCCTAATTTAAATTCTACGAAAATGCATGATGTGGACAAGTATGTCATTCTTAACTGACAAGTTCAGAATAATTAAGTTCATCATAATTAAGAAAAGAAGTTTTAAGAAATCTGATTTGATACTGTGTTAAAAAGTACACATTCTAAAACAATATCACTTCTTATAAAAGCGAGCGATATGCCAAAATGTTTACTATATATGTGTATAAAAACAACGGATTTTAAGAAAAATGCAAAATCTTGGACTGTTTTTAATATTGGCGTTGTTTGTACTATATTCGTAAGTATTAATATTATATTTCATGCTTTGATGTAAATTTGCTCTGTTTAAAACGGCAATGGTAATGTACGTAAAAGTAATGTCCAAGAGGTTAACAACTCGCTTTCTCTCTCCCATCTTCCCTCCCTCCTCTGTCTCTTTCTGTCTCTGTATCTCTGTTTCTCTCTGTGTGTGTGTATGTATCATTACCCTGAAATACTTAGAGATAACAAACAGTATATTCAAGCTCAAAAGTCCATTAAACAATACATTTTTTGGAGCAAAGTAAACACGGACCTCCAAACATCAGAGGTTGGATCAGGTGCCATGGAGTCGTGAGTATCCCCTGCCGACCGGTCACATCCGCCGGGTGCTCCTTGTAATGATCGGAAAATAACGGAAAAATCCGTCGACAATTGAGTTTGTAAATAATGGCCTAACAATTAGTATGAAAAAAAATTCAGTCAGCTTTTTACTTAATGATAAATTGTATTTGCTAACATGGTCATTGTATCGACAATAAAACTAACGGAATGGTTGTATATAAAGTTGTAAAGTTTTTGTGTTGTTGACTTTGGTAAAATTTTGTGATTTCAAATTTTCAAAAAGTTCCTTGGAATTTTTAAGACACTACATATGTTTTGCACCACTTGTCGAATATATTGTTGCACAGTACTCCTGAAGTTTCTCCTTCTCTACTGTTAATATTTAAGTTAGGAGTAAAGAAAGTGGCTCGGTGGAACATTTACTAGAACCCGCTAAGTATCTTTGTTTGTAAGGATTTTTTTGACGTTTCGGATTCCAATATAGATATGGTAATTCAAGCTGTCAAATTTTCTTCTCTGTTTCAGGTAACAGTGCTCTCTGAGGATGACGAAGCGTGTGTATTGAAGATAAGCAGGGAGGCGTGCCCTAGAGTACCCGGAATTTTAAAAAGTTTGGTACGTGTTTATACTTGTATATTTTTTTTTTCTAAGAAAAAGGCACTTGATCCCACCTCTGAAATTACCAGGGGTCCGTGCTTTATGTCCTCTTTACTTAATTGAATAAATTATTGTTTATAGATTTTTAGAGATCGATCACTTTTCGTTATCTTCATTTTGGGATTAGTGAAAAAATGTTTATTTTTCAGGATCTCATACCTTGTGGAATCTTTGGCTGTTCCGGTCACAGTAAGTTCCTATATTTTTTCCTGGAACAAAAGATCTACAAAAAAATCAAATTAATAATTTTTTTATAAAGTCATTTTTTATCTTTTTACATCCCCTTTGTTCTATGCCAATTCTAAAATTAAAAGTTAAGGACTACTTTTCCTTAACACGTATATTTCTAAATTACTTAATAAATACAAGCATATATGTGCTATTGGAAATATACACAAAATTGATTCAGCCGTTTTCTCATTATTGATTTTTTCCACATTTTTTTGTTTTTGATTTTAAAAAATCTTATTTTGACGTTCCATTGGGCCAATAAGATAAAACGTTAGAGAAATCTGTAGTAAATAGCGTTAACTATTTAGGTTTAATCAGAATAAAACGGCCCGGGGGTAGGGTTTGGACACAACAAACCCTCAAATTTTACATTGAATTATATCAGACCAAGAAAATTAATATATATTATAATATATATTATATTTTCATCACGACGTTAGTGTGACGTCATTATTTTCGTATGCCTGCGCGACCAGAAAAAAAATTGAATTAATGAACAACTCATTCAAAATAAAGCATGTAATCAGTAAATTCAATTTTTTATTCGTTAAAGTTGCCACAGTTTGCTCTCAATAAACTCAATCAATATGGAAAAATTAGGAGAAATCTACATTTGTATAAGCAACTATAATCAGGTTTGATTCATTTGCAAACCTATTTTAAATTATTGTTATCTATAACAAAATTTGCCAGTATCCAAGTATCATATAGGAAAACATGGGATAAATTATTTAAAATCTCATTAAGAACAGCATGGTTGGTCATATAAATTTAGAGGCATCTACAAATTGTGTAGAATTACGTTTGTCCAAACTATGACGGGGTGGAGTATTTTATAAAGATGTAGTTACTGACTTTGCACATGAAATGTGAAAATCCATCAAAAGCAAAAAAAAAAAAAAAAAAAAAAGAAAAGAAAAAAAGAAAAAAAGGGAAAAAAAAGAAAAAAAAAAAAAACTTTCACCAATATTATAATTACATGTATAAAAATTATAACATACACATGCATATTTGTACATGTCTGTGTATATTATTTTTTTCATTGTAGATGAAAGATGCTGCGAGATCACTTGTCCAGATTTGGATGTGGATTTGGGAAACTATTGTTTTCGTAAAAGATTGCAATTATAAACAAACAACAACTGCAAACTGTCTCCTGAAACATGGTTTTATTCCACCCTCCCAATTTGTTGAATAATAAAATGGCTTACTCCGGGATATTCATGTACTGTGGCATTCTGAAAATAACTGTATATACTAAGTAGGCATATCATAATTTTAATGCAATAAAATTTGTCTAATCCGGGTGTTCTGTATTCAAAAATTTTGACTAATGCGATGTAATCTTGACGTCCTTTTCAGAAATTTCAATTGATGAAAATGTATTATAATCCGGAATGTTATCTAATCTTGCCAGTTTCTTTGGAAACAGTGGTGGCCGTATTAGACAAGTTTAACTGCATCCTGCATGTAGCTTGGGAAATGCTTTAGCTTACTCAGAGAGACAGATAGACGGGGGTTTTTAGGCCGATAGTGTCATTGTCAAACTTAAAATATTGAAAAATAAAATTGAAACACAAAAATTCCTTAAAACAATTATGTACGCAGGGACTGAAAATGTAAAGAAACCCGATGATGCGAAAAACAAACAGTGCAACAAAATTTTTTTTATATACATTGCTCAGCATCAACATCAGCAAAATAATCGTCACCTTCCAGCTAACATGAAGATCGACATTGAAAAGTAGCATTGCCAGGCAAAGATCAACATAATCAAGCAAAGGTTAGAAATAACATAACAAGCATGGACTTACTTTGTATAAGGACTTCCCTACTAACAACACGAAATCGGTCATTTTTCGGTAAATATAAAAAAGGAAAGCAAGCGGAAAGATTTATACTTTATTAATTTAAACTATTAAGTAAGTCATTATTCTAAATTGATGTGATGCGAATAATCATTATCTATTTCTGGAGGCATGATTCTACTTCTGGTAGCAGAGACCTAGAAAACATCAGAATAATGAGAGCAAGCAAGCAAATTAAGCATATAAAACAGAAAACATGGGTTATGAAAAAAAAATATTAGCACTGATACTATAACAAAATTGGTTCAACGTACTGTATTACAAATACACTCTGAAAGTACAACGTACATGTAGATTGTTTAAGCTAAAATCAAGTATGTTATAAGCAGTGCTTGGAGTGTGTTTTTGACTGATGAGCACTTTTCATTCAGTACGATATAAAGTCGAAGTTGATTTTTTTTTATTAGAATTCTCGACAAATTGACGATTACTTCCTAGACAGCACAAACTAGCTCCAAGTACTTTTCCGGTAAAGGTTGGAAACTTATTTTAATGTGTATCAATTTTGTTGGCCAAACACAACTGGATATCCTTGAATAAGCGTCATTTTCTTCATTCACCCTAAAAAATCTATTTTTATGCCAGTCACGTTATAACCAGCTAAAACATGAGTACCGATTTGTTTAACATAAATAGATTTAGAAAGATAAATTGTTTCAAATGTTCTAGTATTCGTATCTTAAATTGAATACTACTTATTGACAAAAATTGTCTTATTTTCTTTTTGTAAAATCCCCAAATCTTTGAGAAGTATTTTTACAAGCAAATTTAATCTAAAAAGGTTATTATGAAGTCAATAAACAATATATCAAACATCAAAAAATCCAAGAATATCGGGAAAATTGCTTATAATCAAATAAAACAGTACTTACATGTAAAATCTGGAGTTTAGTTCCAAGTAATGATTATTAATTTTTACGGAATTTCGAGAAGTGGAATCTGTGACATAAATATTTAATCATACTTTTTTTAATAACGTACTAAATATTGTAAAATTTATTTACTTTTTGTTGACATGAAAGGCTAATTTAGAAGTTATTTACAACCTGCTCCAAGACGGAAATTTATCATCATTAGGAAATCAGGAGCCCTTCGGCGATGATTGTCGTTTTTTTTTTTTCTATTAGAGACTATTAAACTTATTATTTGGTCATTTTTCGACTGACATATCCGCCGAAATATGACTGAAACATTGCCGACTCGGCATTAAACAATAAACAATCTGTTAATCAATCGATTGACATATTTCCCGGCTGTCGTCAGGCTTGTTTTTATACACTTTTGACCACGTGATCAATTCAAAGGGTTTATGGTGGATGTGTTTGATTGAAAGGGCATACTTACTTCACCCAAGCACTTCCCGCCTGTCGCGCTTTAGGGGTCAGTGTTTTATGCTGTTTACTATAAGCCTAAAGCCTAAAGCCTACTGTAAAATAAATTTTGTTTGTCTTCTCCAGACTCCCGAATGGAAATGTGTCAATTGGTAGGTGGTAAGTTTTTTTCAGAAATTTTAAAATAAATGCTAAATTTTAAAAATCTATTTTCTGGAGGGAAAAAAAGAAGAAGATTTCTGGAGGTTTAAAGAAATTTCGAGCCCGGCAGTTAAAGCCAGTCGGTCGGGAGAGGACAATCAACTATTTATTTTTAACAGATGGGCTTATTTACTGGATCATTTTATAAAATAGGCTACTATCCTTTATCCTCATCTTCACATTCAGAAAAATTTATTAAATTATATAGATAAAATCTTTTTAACCAGTTTAATATAGTTAATAAAGTAAGAAAATTTGAAAATATTCTTAAAAGAGGGGATATTATAGGATGAGGATATATCCGCTATAAATTGAAAAGAATATATTGAACAAAAATAATCTCGAGGGCCTTTTGATCTACTATTTTTCAATAATTTGAGAATTTAAAAAAAAGTCATGAACCTGACTGGTTGAAGTTTTTAAAAATGAATTGTTTTCGAAAAGATAAAAGTGCCTTGTTACAAGGGCAATGCACAGTTTTAATGAATTATAACATTTTACTGGTTCAAATCAATAAGCCAAATGGGATGTGATTTTTTTTTGTTTTGCATTTATTCCGTAGAGATTTGACTGTAGGGTTCTTTGTATTGCCATTGAAAAGGGATAACAAAATTAGCGAAACAAGCTTGTTCAGGTCATTCTTTATAAAATTTGTTGCAATTGCTAAGAATTTATCTCGCACTTATCAGAATATAATCATTAGTAGAACTTTGAGAAATATTAATTAAATTGCGTGTTATATTTGGTTTACGAAAAAAATTCTTTTCTCTAGATATGAACGTCCAAACTTCTTCAACATACCGGTATCTACTTTTTGTCCCCCATTTTCACTGAAAGTTGGAGATATTAATTTGGGTATGTGTCCGTCTGTCTTTCTGTCTGTCTGTGACACTTCCTTTTCCGCGCAATATCTGAAGAAGCCTTTGAGGTTTTGCAGCGAAATTTTATAACAGAACACGCTTTTGCCTAAGGAAGACTCCTATTTATTTTGAGGTCAAAAGGTTAAAGTTCAAGTTCGTAGATTCATACACTCTGTTTGTGTGTAAAACTTTCATATCCAGGCGATATCTAAAGAATCCTTTGAGCTTTTTCAATGAAATTTGATACTATAACTCCCTATGGCACCACCCGCTCTTCTTAAAATGTCCCCTACCCCTTTGACCCCCCTCTAGATCCGTGCATGCTCTTCTTTTTTTTTTCCTTAAGAGGCAGACATAAATTCTCTGAATAAGCTTGTTTATTTACATATCTGCAAGACAAAATAAAGAAAAAGAAGAAAACAAAAAGTCATTGCGTATGTTTGAAAATTCCAATTTGTCACTTTTTTGGGTTTTCTTGTGTAATTTTTAGATTTACATTGTTTTTGTTGAAATAATACATGTATTTTCGAACGTTTTTTTTCTATACAGGTTTATATTATATACAAGTTTGCGTACCGCTATATTGAACTATATATACTACTTTCAACATGCCAGTTTATGTCTTTCAAGATTTAAAGATTCTATGATCCAATCGATATAATTGCTAAAAGTGCTGAAAAAAGTGCAAATATATTTTTCTCTTAGGTCAGAGCTACGGTATATATAGTCTTTCTCATTTTCAACTCAGAACACAAAAATGAAAAAAAAAATATTGAAAGTTTCTGGCAGCAGAGACAGAAATAAATCTTCCCTAATAAACTTTTTCCCGACAAAAAAAAATTAAGATTCTTAATTGCAGAGACAATTTATCATTTTCTGAAATGTTGATTACGGTACAGTAAATGTCCAGGTCCTTTTAAAATTACATTTATTACAGTTTCAACTTAAAGAAAATCCCTTGGATAATAGATAGAGGTAGCCAGTGGGTTTTTTTTTTCATGAATTTTGTTTTGAATCTTGTCAGTATTGTGCAGATATCAGTTGTCAGTTATTTTGAAAGATTTGGTCTTTAATAGAGATATTTTATTGAAATTTCTACAGACCCTAAAACGTTCTACTTTCCCACCTGAACGGTGAGCGAACGCTGAACGAATGGTGAACAAACGCTGAATGAACGCAGAGCGAACGGTGAGTGAACGATATGTGAACGCTGAATGCAACTTGTTGAAAGATGTGTGAACGCTGAACGGTGAGCGAACGCAGAACGCGAACGGAGCACAAACGCGAACGCAAAGTGAACGGTGAACGAACGGTGAACGCAAGATGAACGATTTGTTCGGAATGCTTCTGATCTTTTTCTTCCATTGAAACCATTCTATTGTATTCTAATGTCAGGTGCCAAAAAATAAATAGATAATAAATAAATAAACAAATCAATGATTAAATGAATAAATGCTACAGAATTTTCTTAAGAAAGACGTATATTTCTTGTATGATGTTTAAATTCAACTTTCTAATCACACGATTTTTATCGCTGTGAAACATTGTAATTGTTACCGAACGCTGTATTACAAAAGATAAAATTATTTTAGTTGGAAAATAAATATGTCTATTCTTATTTGATATAAATAACCATTACAAATAAGAGAAAACTTCTAACTTATAGAATGAATTACAACGGTAGTAACATCCATTCATATATTTCTTTGCAAAGGCGATTCCGTGTAAAATAATGAAAAAAAAATTACAAAGGTCTGTGGACATATTTGCATTAATACACTCGTATTTTAAATTCTTAATGCAATAATATATTTCTGTGTTATTTCTATTTTTTTATGATGAATTATTGAGCAGACTTCTACATCTACCTGTAGACATTTCCCCCTGATTTTACTCAGACAAGATAATACAAAGAGGCATATTCATATTATTTGTTTTAGATTAAAATTTCAGAACTTGATATTTAAGTTATATGCTGACATGGTTTTTATGAAACAGACAAGAGAGAGAGAGAGAGAGAGAGAGAGAGAGAGAGAGAGAGAGAGAG